TTGCGCTTAAACAATTCCAATTTTTATGAAAATAACAAACAAGAACACCAAGACATAAACAATCACTCTATAACGAATCTTAAGGAAAACGTTCAACTTATGTGGCTAAGAAGTTCATTTACCTTAAAATTATACAAAACACAAGTCACAAAAAAGATTCACGTATGAATTCAAGAATCACTTAACTAAAATATGTAGCTAAATTAGCTTCAATGATAACCAAATTCAACATATCAACCTACTTATGAAATCAAATTTATAATTCAACCAATTTAACATCAATTTGCGCAAAAATTGAAGAAACTAGTAAGAATCAATTTTCATTCATAAGGGATTTAATATAAACATTAAAAAAAACCCATAAAAGAACACCAACCATTTTGGAATTTTCAAAATTCACACAACAAGCAAAAAAAATGTAAATTTGAATTGAAACAATATTTTTACAAAGAAATTGGAGAAGAAATTTTTTTGACAAATATAGGGTTACCAATTGTTGAAGAAGATGAAGAAATTGAAGAAAATTGGAGCTTGAAGGAACTGCCACTAGTCGCCGGAGCTTCTGACGCCGCCGCCACCTGCCATCGTAGAACGCCGGCGAGCCGTCATTGGCCGCCGTCTGCCTCTCCGCCGGTGGGTTGCATCAATAGCAGCGGTAAGAGCCGCTGCTCTGTTATTTCGGTACGATTCCCCTCTGGTCTTGTTCCCCCCTTTGAATTGTGCAATTTTCCTTCAATTTATAGGATAGTAGGAGCAAGGAGCCTTTAATTTCTTCCCGTTGAGAATTGATTGTTGCGAATCAAACGGAAGAACGTTGGAGCATCCGCGCTGGTTTATCGCGAAGAGGAAGAAGTCGTAGACTTCAATCCTTAGTTCTTTTTTTTTTCCTTTCTTGCGTGAAGACAAAGTGAGATGATTGGTGGGCTAATTCTCTATTATGTTTGTTCTGGGCTTTGGCCCAAAATCAATATGTTCTTTTCAAACTTGAACTTCAATTCAGCCTTTTGCTGCAATTTTCTCCAAAAATAAGATATTTGATAATTTGGGTTAGGGAAAATAAGGAAAATAATAAAAAGAATGATTAAAAAGCTACTATTTTTAAAAGAAAATTAAAAGATTTTAAAAAATAGAAACTAAAATAAAACTACACAAAACTACTAAAAATTAAACATTAAAAGTATTAAAAATGTCTAAAATTGGATAAAAAGTACTAACCCAAACCCGAGTTATCACAAAGTATCTTTTTTTCTTTGTGCAATAAGTTACAAGATGCCATTGGTAACTTCTCATTTTTTCCGGGATTTTTGGGCATCAACTCCGTTCTAATACCCATTTCAGCCATATCGATACGCACAGATTCCCTATCTTTTGTCTTCCCTAGTATATTAAGCAACGTACCAATTAATGCCTCACATATATTTTTCTCAATATGCATTACATCGAGAACATGCCTTACCGGCAGAAATTTCCAATATTCCAGTTTAAAAAAATAGACATCTTCTTCCAAGTAGGTCGGATGTCTCCTTTTTTTAGACGAGGATGTGGTTGTGTCTTCCCGTAGACATGGTCAGTTAACGATTGCACATGTAAATATACCTCTTCCCCAGTCAATGGGTTAGGAGCTGCATTCTTTTCCACTGTGTTATCAAAAGCTGCTTTCTACCTTCGATATGGATGTTGTCGTGGCAACCACCTGCGATGCTTCATAACCACCATCTTACGGTAATTACGCAACCTGATAGCATTTGTTTTATCACCACAAACAACACATGAATTATAGCCTTTTACAACATTACGTGACAAATTACCCAATGCAGGATAATCACTAATTGTCCACAACAAAACTGCCCGCAATGTGAAGAACTCTTTCCTGTACGCATCATAGACTTGAACACCAATCCACAACCTTTGAAGGTCTTTAACTACCATCTGAAGATAGACATCAATGTTGTTTCCGGGCTGATTTGGTCCTGATATCAACATGCTTAAGGTTATATACTTTCTC